ACATATGAAGATAACTTTTATCACTTTTATCAAATGTAGTTCTGCTCGCTATCAGGTCATTCGAGCAACCAAAGTTAACTCCATTTGTCCTATTCGCTCACAAGATTTGTTCACTCTGACCCGTTTGCTCAAAACAAAGGGTCACGATGAGAGTCATGTTTTTCACTATTCGTGGCGGAAACCTACTAATGGGCATCTTACCACCGTGGCATAAGTTTTTACTTTTGATGAGAAAACGATTAGGGACAAAGCGTTAGGCAATGTTGAATCCTTGAAGGGCGTATCATGCATCCAACCCCATTAGGCATTGTAGAGGTGATTCAAACCATATCATAGATAGTGATTTCCAGGGCTTAGAGATGTGTCAACTAAGTGTTTCTCCTCTTCCAGACAAGCTTGTTACCAAGTTACCGATCCTGGAGTGATGGAGGCTTCATCAGGTTACGGTGTAGTGATGAACCAACGACCAGGTTTGTATTGCAGATCACCTTTAACCACTCTATTACATGCGACATTTAGATGGAATTGATGCGAATATTTCAAACTTCTTAGCATAGATGATCATGCTGATATAAAAGCCCCTTCATCACACTAAATGAGTTCCACTCACTCTGAGAGCCTTTGATCATTATGTATTTTTTCTAAGGTTTTCGTGAACAAATCTAACCATTGGGTTGGTGGTCATCCCGCTTGACATCCCGAGAAATCCAGTCGCTAACGGCCCATGTCTATCGGTTGCCGTTCAGACACATTACGTGTCTATTCCACCTTATCCTCGACAATCTGGATTGTAGAACGCCGTCTTCGATTTTTGATCGTTGACTCAGGTGGGTGCCCCGGATCCGCTCTCTCACGTGATACGGCACATTTCTAGCATCGTCCTTTCGATTTCTCACTCTACAATATAAGTCGCCTTTCATGCTGCTTACGTAGCATAGAGGCTCTTGACGGGTACGTTAAGACAAGAAGTATCGTGGAGTCGAAAATGTGGGCGCGGAGTCGGGTGTTCTTTGTTCTCTTCACTACATCCTCGATGCTCTTGAAAGCTCCCAAAGCCGTTCTTTTCATTCTACTCAGATCTGGAGCTAAGCCGTTCATTATAATGATTTCCCAACGTAGATAGACATAAGTGGAGCATTCGGAGACATTTGTCCGTTGAGCGAGAAAGGTCCATACGTAACTAATCCGTTCCCCATGAACATCGTTTCTGTGAGGCTTGTGCGAGAACTAATCTTTCCACAGTCGTTGTCAAAAGCCTGTACCATTCGTTCCACATAACTAATGCTTAATGTTATACGAACGATATCATCAACAAAGCAAGGAAGGTTAAATTGCCGACCATCGATTTTCACTCTCATGTTATCCCATTCTAATGTTTGCATAACGTTCTAGAAGGTGGCAGTAAACAATTTCAATGAGATGATATCATCTTGTCTGACCCTCTACGTTGATGGTAATATTGTTCTAGAATGGTGATATGTTGGCTGCCAAATTTTCACATAGCTCACGAAGAATCTTCATGCGGTGAGTTGAGACGTTCTGGCTGTCCAGAGCTAGCATGACTGTTTTTGTCTCAACCGACCCAAAAGTCGATGAATTTAAGACACCATGGTCTCTTGTACTCTCGCGTTACTTCAACAAGTCTTGTTATCATGTGGGTTGATCCATCGCATTGAATCGTCCTCGAAACCCGGCTTGCTCACATAGCTGTTGTCCTTCGTCTATTACTCCGTAGGAAAAAGTTCCAGAAATAATATCTAATACGAGTATAACGTCCGTCAGACCAACGATGCATTCAGGCGAACATCGCCTCCCATCAGGTGAAGTATTATTTAATCTCATCCTCTTCCAAAATCCACAATACGTAGGGTTCCAGATACCGGGCGCCTAGATTTCATAACGATGGATATATGGAAAATCACATCTTACTAACAAAAATGTGGAAATCCAAGTTCTTCTCGTTCAAACCAGTCAATGCTCAATATAAGCTCAGATGTGTACTTAACCTTGAACGCCCCACATGTTTTTGGTAGAATGTCACTCCTATATGGGTCATATTGCAGCTAGAAAGCAAACTAGCGCATCCTTCGTAGAGCAAAGACATCGTATAAACGACTGTAACTCTAAAATGCGGCTTGTTTCCGAACATGACGGAGGATTCCACGACCAGCTGACTAGGAATGAACAGAGACCCCAACTAACTGATTTGGTCAGAGTGTGTTTCTTCCAAATTCTTGCCTATTTCGGCTCATAGTTCCCTCGCCTCATCGAATACGGTCTATTTGCAAGTGTTCGGATTTCCTTTACTCTAGAATAAAAAGTAATAACTAACTATCAGCTCATTATTCTCAAAAAATCCCGCTTTTTACTGCTCTGATTCTCTCCTTTACACTGTACGAAGTCTTAACCACAGCAAGAATGATAGACATAGGTGACCTTCTGCACAGCTAACCGACTAACCGTTGTAATGTATCTCACAATATGTCCTCTTCGTGACTGAAGGTCTGCAGCCACCAATTCACAGTTTTTGTGCAATATCCACTAATTCTCAGCAAATATAACTAACGGTATAGCTATCCTGGTAATATTCAAATGAATAGAATGCTTCAAGTATTAAACATGTCATTATTCGGAAGTCCTCCCAACGGTTCACCGTCTCATCGTGACTGGAAGTTGTTCCTGGGTACCGCGCTGCGACGTACAAGTCGGATTCATACCGCCAGCAGGGATTCCCAAACCGAGAAGTAGTCCAGCGTTCCCATTAGGAAGCCCAACTAGAAGTAAACCAATATCAGGACCTACTACCGTTCTGGCACTAAACTAATAACATGTGGCAAATCCAAAAGGGCCCACAAGGACGGCTGAAGATCTCGGGTAGACTGTACAGCCTGACTCCAAGGAACCACAACGACTAAACCAGCTAGCCTACGAAAAATTGGAGATTATACTGGCCTCAGCACACCCAGTGAGATCGAGCCATCCAAGCATCCAAGTATTGGTCGAGAGTAGCTTTAATTAGCAGAATAGTACCAGGATATCATAGACTAGCTATAATTCCACGAATACTATCCTCATATTTAAATCCATAATGTGTCAAAAGAGAAATAAAATGACACAAGACTCCACCCTCATCATCTTACTGTAATGCTTACCTAGATACCTGGATGATCTGTACATCACATGTCGAGCGAATGCTTCTTCCGTTCATTTCGTTCTCGCATTTGCTTGCAACTGTATCTACTATTCGACCCTACGTAGTCGATTCTCCAAACATTTTTATTATATGGATATGAATGGACATAACATGTTACTGCTGTGAAGATTAATAGTAATTATAGAATACTCAAAAAGTTATGACGAGCTTCTGCTTTGAATGTGAGAAAGAAAATAATCGCTAAAAACGTAACTTATTCTTACAAGAGAAACAAAATATTCTGCGCACTTGCCGCGTACATTTCACACCAGAATGTTTTAAGTGCAACGTACGTGGACGCGATACGCGTTGCGACTTAGACGGCAGATTTCCTATTCAAAACAAAGGGCGTACGGCTCCGTAGCCAGCTGCTTGCCAACCAGGAAACCCACCCGTTTTTGTCATCCAGATAGCCGGTGTACTATCAAAATTAAACACATACATAACGACACACTGGCCCGCCGTACACCGGTAAGGAAGAAAACCAGATCAGATCGCCAATAAAGAATCGGCCAAAAGAAGTGAGAAAGCATATCAGGAACAGAAGAGATAGAAAAAGAAATCGTCCACGCCATTCATGGAGCTTCTGGGTATGCAACCTATATGATGTTTGTTGATGACGTGGGTAATACTACACTTTCCGTAAACAAAGACGTCAGAGGACGACAAACGCCTACGAAAAATGGAACTTTAAAAACTACCAAGGTGTTGTTCCCCAATGCTCACCCGGTAGTCACAAAATAGAAAAGAACTAATCTGAACTCTGAATATACAATAGTTGAGTGAAGTACTGGAATACATGAATAAACGGCAAATATGCCAAAAAAAAATTGTAATAACGGCCGTGGAAAATACAAAGTCATACACACACATACATACACACACATGCACAAATACACGCACCACACATAAACACTATAAACTAAATATGCACCAAACAATAAGGCGCTGCTACAACAATAACTCACAAACTAGAAGATTAAAAGGAAAAAAAAGTGAGCAGAAAGAACACTATAACAATATGAGAGATATAGTACATGAAGATGAATTACGAAGCTGTGCCAGTCAGAGATGAGGTCCAGTCCCGCCACGATAAATTCACTTAGTCTGTTCGGTCAGTTTGCGTTCCAACTCTTCAAGACTCATGGGGCGCACTGAAGGCGGTGGCATCCTAGCTCCTACATGCGCAACACCTTGAGATGCTCCTTGAAATGAAGTGTTGCTCTCGTGATTTGCACCGGTGAATTGTGCTGGCTGAACACCAGCAGCCGCTAGAAGCTTCTCTAATGGACTTTGGATAGGACCGGAAAGATCGCCCGCGGCTCCGAACGGCGAACCGCCGCCGAAGTTTTGTGAACTATGTTCGGAGAAATTAGGCACCTATAAAGTGAAAATATCGATACGATAATCGACTCTAAGGAATCCAACTTCTTTAATCCTCACAACGGCAAAAAAAAACGGTAAGCCCATTATATAGAAAGATTCTGAATCTTTCGTACTTGCATCGAAGCAGCTGCAGCAGCAGCTTGTTGATGCCCCTGCAGTTGCATAATTTTTGCGAGAGCAGCCTGCTGTTGCTGCTTCACACGAATTCTCTGCTGAAGGGCAAGTTGTTGCATCTAAAATTGCAAATGGGACAAAAATAACTTTATCGGTCAAGCAACTATTCACTTCAACTGACTTGTGTCATTTGCAAAAACAATTGGGCCTGAGCTTGAGGATTCGGAGGTAAACCACTGTTGCTAGTAGGCGGAGGAGGACGCCATGCAGCCATAGGAAGACCACCTGAACGAAGAGGCTGTCATAAAATATGGAAACTATGAAGAATTCCCAACATAGTTTCCCTGTTATCTATAGTTCCTATCAAAACTAGGAAAATAATTTAAAGTTTAAGAAAGGACAACAATAAACTAAAGTTTCTTCTGTCGTTCACACTTGGTACTTTATATTACGTACTTAAGCCGCAAAGCACAACTATATAAGCCTTCATTTAATTAATCTAGTTTGCAAATTAAGAAAGTTCAGAAGGCTTAAGCTCAGTTGGAATGGTCTTTTTAGAGTGCTAAATTGCGACTGACTCCATCTCAGGCAACGTTACCAAGAATGAAGCATTCCTTGCTCCAACCGAGACGACATCCAAGAGAATACCTTTCTCAGAAATTACTAACGCCTAGACAAAAGCATAACTAGAAAGGTCAAAATCCGTCAAGCAGCAAGAACTGTTTGTCACGATGTCTTAGGACTGCTTTGTTAAGGTCACCTTAGCACTTTAGGATAAGGCATCGTCCAAAAGGAAAACAATTAGCACCATGGTAACCACACCGATATGTCGGCCTACGACATTAGATGGTGAAACAAAAAAAGGAAAAAACATTGACAATCGGTAAGCAACTACAACGAAAAAGTGTAAAAGATGAAAGATAAAACATTCGGCGTTGAACAATCCCTGAGAAATGCACCTTACATTTGTCTCCAAGAGGGCGGAAAGCACAGTGGTAGTGAAGTCGGCCATGACGAGCATGGTGCTAGTTCGATTCCGCACCAGATCAGCCAAGTCTCTCATCCATCCGGGGTTGAGAAATTGGTAGCGGACTTGTCTGGGGAAAAAACCACTCTCTGCAATCCAATTGGGAACGGTCCAGCCCGGCTATCTCAGGACACCAGGGAGAACTGCTCCACCAGAGTTCTACGACATTCATAATGAAATGAAAATCCTCAAGCAGTAAACGAGGCCACACGCAAAAACCTGGAAAACCTTGGTGGATGATGGATGCGAGGAAATGAACAGGATGTGAGAAGTGCTAGAAACCGCACAGTAGACGTGAAGACGGATCAAATAAAATAAAAGAAATAAAAAAGAAACACTAGACCCCACCTAGCGTAGTTGAGCAGATTGAATATATATCTGGCCATTATAATAGCTGCCCGTGGCCGGAAGATGTACAAAGCCGTTGTCACTATACTCCTAGACAAATTTGGTAGCAATTTGCCAATTCGGAGGGATGGAAAGCTTGGTGAGTCCGAGGCACGCGATCCAACAAACGACCACATGTATACTGTGGGAGACTTTTAAGTACTGCGCTACACGTGTCCACCGACATGTAGTGAACCCAAAATTCTCCAATGTCTGCTGAAACATCGACCTTGGGGCTTTTTCAAAGCCCCGTGTCGAACCTGAGCTCACATGATCGGCTTGTGGGAGACGTAATGTAAAACGGCCGATGTAACCACAAAATGACAAGTCTGCTATTATTAGCAGAGAATAAAACCTTAGGCAACAAAATGTGGCGCGCAAGCTTTGTTGTTCATTAAACTGTTACCAATAACTCACCGCGCTCTGACACACTGGCATCAGAACTATACAATGTGGGCATACAGAGAAAATATAACATTCACATTGCAAATGAAGTCGGACATAACAGTTCGAACCCTCGACAAATACTCTGCCGTTTTGATACAGTGTAATAAAAATATATTTAAATCAATACAAAGATGTGTCGAGCACCTGACAAGGAAAGTCAACGGCAATTTGGAAGAAGAATGCTGAAATGAGTCCTAAGGTGATGTAAGTGTTCTCTAACGCGACGGACATGACTGTAGCTCACATAAACTAATTGTAGTCGCAACTAGAAGCAATCTATTGAACATAGTACGGCAGTCGCTGATGTCATCATGCATGGTACAAACCACCTCTAAGTAGAGCGAGTTGGAAGAAACGGAACGAATACGATATGTGGCGCGGTGGGATCCATGAAGAGTGGGTAACCCAGTGGCACAAGAACAAAGACTCGAAAAAGTACTTTCCATTTGTGCTAAAATTCGAGTAACTTAGCGAGCATTCTACATAGGATAACACAGTGCCGATAATGAATAAAAACCGAACAGCTTAGCTTAAAACAGCGCTTAAAACAAACACCTCACAATAAGAGATAAATGTCACCTTGCATAGCATTCATCATTGCAGCATACTGATGCTGCATTTGCATCTTTTTAAGCAAATCAGCATTATTTCTAGCGAAAGTCTCCAGAGCTTCTGAAAATTTTGAATGAACAACTAGATTCAACTGAACTTTTTCCTTTACAGAGAATAAGTGAAAATATACAAAAAAAGGAAAAAACAGAAGAATACACAGTACTTACCTGCATCACCCAAGTGAGGAGGACTTCCTTCCTGTTCAGCCCTTACATTACGATGTACTGTTTCTTCGTGTTGTGAGCTGTTACCTTTATTCATCTGACGTTGCACAGATGAAGGGATCATTTGCGTTGGTGGACGTACCTATACACCACTTATCATGGTTGAAAAATAACATATGTCTAGCTCAAAAGGAATTAATTAAAACAAAGAGAAGGTTATGTCGAACCAAAACTAACCCACACTGATTAAAAACATATGGACACTGAGATATGAGCAAAACTTGGAACTTTCGAATTAGCGATTACCCTGACCGAGGACTCATGCTGTCGACCACACCAACTGAGTCGCTAGCTTTAGTTTTCTCTTGGGTATGCTCCTACTCTATCAGTGATATCAGCAACCACCCGTCAATAGAAATGATTTGGTTATCACAAATTTGCGTTGAACTCAGTTATACTGAAGCTCCAGTCGAAATCATTATCATGAAAAGATGATAGGCCGGAAACAGAAGTTAAAACATTGCATTTCTACTGTAGCCTCAGTTTAACTGGATTCATCACCGATTTGCACTCCCTAAACCATTCCCGTTGACTGCTGATTGCACCTGTAGAGCAAAAATGTGGCCGAAAAGCAAAGCAATTGCCTCGGTTGTTGTAGTGTACAGCATGTAAGCCTATGGGTTAGCACAGGTCTAAAGCCGCATTGCGGCTCCCAGTTTTTGTCATACCTCAGCACCCTTGTGGGGTAGAAAAAACATTATGATTACACTAATTTCCATCACTGCAAAAAAGGAATAAATACATTGAAAAAAAGTACCAGAAACTTTACCACCTGGTAAATGGTTGGCAAAAATTTTCCATACCTTACCCAACTTCCCCTGAGCGGCTGCTGCAGCGACGAGCTGTTGTTGTTGAAGACGCAACAAAGTTGCTCGCGCCTGTTCGTCTTAAATTTGTTTTAGTCAAAACACAGTCAAAGAGCTGAAGGTGAACATTTTCCAACAATACGCTACCACTATTCTTGCTATATTTATAATCAATGCGGCCTACTACTCAGGACACTCTACTTGCTGCCAGTATTATGAACTAGTTCTACACCATAACGAACAACCAAGGAAGGTTACATAGAATCTCCACTCTTACAGTGGAACTCCCATAGCCTCATAGCATTCCATGATCTCCAGAGAAAATACCCAATAACACTCACGCATGTGAACAGGAGGAACATTTACTCCTCCATTTGCTGCCAATTGTGCGGCCATTGCTTGATGAACGTGTGCCTGGATATGAGCCTGCATAAGAGTCGGATTTTCAGCTGCCATACCTAAAAATGCTTTCGTAATACAACTTTTGGATAAACACAGAACAATTCAAAACTCAAAATTACATACGAGCCAACAGAGCAGGTGGTAACATTGGCGCTCCTGGTGGAAGAACAGGCGGAAGAAATGGTGAACCACCAGGTTGAAATAGTCCACCAATAGGGGCAGTGAGAGCAGGATTCGGGAGGTTAGGAACACCAGAGGTAAGGTGAGTTTCTTCCTAAGAATGAATACAAAACTTATACCTCTATAAATTTTACGAAGACATGACAAATACTGTAATATGAGGAAGGACTCGAAGTGTTTGGATACATGTATTTCAATCAACATTTATGATTCTTAATATTGAAGCGCGTTTCAACGGTTTACCGCCTAATGGTGGGTGGGAGGGGTTCCTGGGTGTAGGACTGCGATGTGCAGTGACGAGACTCATCTCGCTTGGTTTCCCAAGCTGAGAAGGAGTCCAGCGTTTCAATCAGGAAGCCCAGCTAAGGGTAAACCAGTATCACCGTTCTCGTACCAAACTAGTCGCATGGTGGCAAATCTCCCTCTGATCCACAAGAGCGTCGACTGTCTGTGGTACTGCGGTGTACAGCGAGAATATTCATTTTCCAGCAGGGTCCTCCCAAGCTGGGAAGGAATCCGACGTTCCCACGACCTGAGGCCTGACTGACTTCGAGATTCCAGTGAACCACAACGGCTAAACCAGCAAAACTCCGAAAAAATGGAGATTATGCTGGAGGTCCGCACAACCCGTGAGGATTGGCCATCCAAGTAAGTAAGTATTAAAGCGAAAACCTTCATGAACATGTCTTTAAAACGCCTCAGCATCTTTTGTAAAGACGCAGATAAAGAGAAAATTTTTACGAAATGCCAAGATGAATAACGAAATACCTGTTTGACAAAGTTTTGCAATATGCTCAAAAGGTGTGCCTCCTGATTGGGATCTTGTAATGAGCTTTCCTTAGCGATCTGAATTCAGAAACTATTGAGAAAAATAAAACTGAGACAGCATAAAGAAAACATAAATACATTTTTAGCATAACTTTTAGCACAACACCTCTCACGCCAAGAAAATATTATAGCATATTGTAGAGAAACCAGTGGTTTCGAATGTGATGAAAAATCTCCATTAAAAAGTTCATTCCAGAAAAATCTTACTGATCCACTACGTGAGTCCTTTGAACTGAAGGCCTTTTCAAGATCTTCTAGCCTCATTGCGCGCACTCCAGCAGATCCCGCCCCTAGTAGTGGCAATGAGGGATTTCCCTACAAACAGGCATTTAATGAAAGGAATACATCGGAACAATAAATATGCTACAAAAAGGCTACGTCGAAAGAAGGCAATACTAAAATTCCATGATGAAACAGAGACTGTTTGATGAGACCAGTTGAGTGACCCTAACTCACTCAACCCAAATCATCAACTTTAATGACCTCTACAAAACAGGTTTACTAATCAAGTTCTCTTTTCAATAGATGGAAAGTGAAGGAGTCACATCGATAAAACTATCGTACCAAGGACTTTTTCACAATACTAGAGTTAAACAAACGCAAACGACTAAGACACAGAGATGTCAGCAAAGAAAATGTTCAACGTTTTGTCGTTTATGCTAACTCTTCCGTCCATTTAACCAAGGGAACAAACATAATATTTAATGAATGGCAACAAAAAGGAATGCACATGTCCCATAAAAGTTCCATTTAAAATTCCACGTAAAAACAACCAAAATACCTGCACGTTTTGCGAAATCTGAGAAGCAGACGAAGGGGTCTGCGCAAAAATCTTTGCTAATAACGGGTTTGCAGACTGAGGATCATCCTGCGAGTTACGGATGTCTTGAAGAGAAGTATCCGCTGAAAAATGATTTGAGACCAAATTATAGGAGAAAAAACAAAAAGAAAAACTAACATTGATTATTGTTTTTGAAGAAGCGACTAAGGCGACTACCAGTTGTTGTAGCAGAAGGATTAACATCCGCAGCAATACCAATCTGATAAAAAGAAAAAATGAAAATGAAGCTTGACCCCACCGCAACACACCTAACACGGCTGATAATCCTGTTGTAAAATGTCTTTGCAGAAAGATTTATTGCTAAGTTATTAAGTATTGATAAAAAAAACCCGCTACACGTAGCACAAACTAATGAAAGGATTAAATAAGCATACCTTGTCCACAAAACTAGACGCACCACCCTCATCCTGCACGTCAAGTAAACCCAAAATAGCGGCTAATTCAGCGTCACTTTCTGGTAATACACTTCCTAAAGGTCGTGGAGGAGGAGCTGCAAAAAAAGCAAAGTTAAGTGAGAGTTATCAGTAGAAACACTTTGTAAGTAAACTTCTACAAAAGGTCCACGTACCAGTCTCATCATTTTCCGACACATGATGATGATCAAGCTTTCCATTCTCAAGTGACCCTTTTCGAGTATCTACTTTCTTATCCTTCTCTCTTTCTTTTTCTTTTTCGTCCTTACGACTTGACGTTCCCCTTTTGCTCTCTTGAAATAAAAAAACAACAGTATTTTGAACCATATAGCGGTGATGCTGCAATAAAAACTAACTCTTGATGGGTTCTTCAAATCCGCGCAACTCTATCATGTCATCCATGGTTGTCGATCCATCAGCCCATTCTGGTATTCGCTCTCCACGATCTCGTTCATCACTATAAGTATGAGAAGCAAGATTCTCTTGCTGCGTCTTCGTGCCATTAACCTTTCTTGATCATAAGTTTAAAACTGAAGCTATTCAGCCTCCCATTCTAACTGACGAAGTGCTCTGTCCGAAAATGTGAGAAAAAACGTAAAAATCTTTCCTACTACCGTTGAATTCTGCCTTGCGTGTATTTCCCAGTGCCCAAGAGAGGTCCTCGATCTTTCATTTCCGTACGCCATGAACCAACAGAATTAGAAGTACCACGAGTGTTAGCACCAATAGATTTCTGCTAAAAAAATAACCATAAAAAGAAGATAAGTGCTAGTAACCACAAAAACAAGAGAGAAACCCAAGAAATTGGTGAAAATGAAACCTACGAAGGGAAGTTTGAAGTCGCCTCCCTTGCTAAAGTATTTCTCAGCATTTCCATTGGAACCGCTTCGCCAACTTTTTGAGTTAGTGGAGCTAAGGCGATCCCGTTCCTTTTCCACACCAGTCCAAGCACTCTCACTACCCAAACCACTACCACTTGGCAACCCTATAAAACTAAGTTTTTGAATGATCGATGTTTCCATTCAAAGTGTATAAAAGAAAATGCGCTCAAATGGTGTATGGAATCCATTGAAACGAAACATAACAAACCGTCTTTCCCCTTATCGTCTGCTGGCGCACGACAGCCACCGGAAAATCCTCGACGTTGTGGTGACAAACCAGCATTGTCGTCCACTGCTCCTGTAAAGAGCGAAATTGGTTGAGTACTGATGTTATATAAAGAAATAAAGTGTAGAAGTAACACCAATTTTTCAAGGTAAAACACAGTTTCACTAGAAAAAAAATACTTTAAGTAGATACTTGAAATCACAACAGAAATAACACCCAGTGATTTTCAGACGTCCTCGATCTCAATTATACCATTGTTAAGCAAACTATTAGATATTCTTGACCCTTCCGGCCCACTAGGAAACGTTAAATTCGATACCTTCGCAACCCCAAAAATCCACATAGTGGCTCAGCTTTGAGCGCTAAATATAGTGCTGCAGGTAGATGAACGTAGCACTTTTACATGTACAAAGCCCTTTTTTTCAAATCTAAACCTTTTAAAAACTAATACTTAATAAAACCTAAGCAACATGTTTATTATTTGTGTAAGAATTTGAGTAAAGTTCAGCACACGAACACAAATAAAAAGAAAAAGACTGTCAGCAAAATATGGGAAAAGAATTCGTCAAATTAATGTAACAAGGGCTCAAACAAACCAGCAGATAGAGCTTCCTGAAGCTTCTTAGTAGGTGCTCGGTTCTTAATCCCTTCCACTTCCCACCGATGCTCCAACCATTTGGATGGAGAAAACTTCCCATCGTCTCTAAAACGACGGCAGAATTGAAGAATGGTTTCTCAAACATCTAGGAAACCTTGGTTATAAACAAGCAAAACAGAAATACATAAAGAAGATATCGCTCACAACGAAGTACGATTAACTTACCCATTAAAATCGACTGAAAGGTTATCAGGACGTTTCATGCTAAGTGGGGCAGTAGACAAATGCATCATCTCCTCTCTATCATAGCGTAACACATAACCGGTCCGAGGAATAAAATTCTGGCCTAGTAAATTCGATACAAGAGGATGGACCTCGTTCTCCTCATCTGACTGACTTGACATATTTACACTGAAAAATGTTGTGAACTTGGAGGCAAATGTTTAAGATCACAATGTTTTAAGCAACGACAGATCTGACGAGAACTTATGGGGGAGAACAGTTCAAGCCTGCTCGAAACGAAAAATGCATTAACGGCCACCCTATAACAAACTGTTGGTAAGATTTCGAACAATAATGACCTAAATCACATATGAACGTGAACATTTGCATCGGAAGAACTAGGTGGAACACGACAGGCCTAATCAAAGGCCAAGTGGTATCTGACCCGCGGATTCGATCCGGACCTACTCCTCGAATCTTCGAATCTCATGGGAACTTCCAGAAGCGAGGAGAACAATACAATAACAACAAAAACAACTAGGGAAAACAATGCTAACATGGTGCCGCCATCACGACTGGTTGAAAATGCAGCAAAGCGCCGTTTACTACGGTATCGGCGTCAAGCAATACGCTAAGTGTACCAGCCCATGTCCCTTTAAATTTAGGACCACATTGCAGACAAAGTTCTGGATTCTCATTTAGCTTTGATGTTTTCAAACATAATTTCACACTCCGAGCTTTCCACATGAAGCGTCTTTTGTCTTCAGAACGGCCGCTTAGAGATTATATGTCTGTCCCTAGATCACCGAATTAAAGGGTGCACATCTGATGAGTGTCATCTCCGAGCTCGCTGCTATTAATTAATACTTGGTGGCTATCTTCGAGCTTTCATCACAGTGGCTTCTTTTGCTTTGCAGTAATGACCTTGTTGCTTGTTGATCGCTTGGCTTCGAGCACTTGGAGGAATAAATGTTAACTTCTTCCTTGTTTTTGTTCAGTTGTTTTCAATGTCTCCTCAGAAAACGCGAGCTATCGAAAACTGTTTTCTTAGGGCTTGGTGTAGCTGAAGTTTGAAAATAAAATGAGCATGATGCGGAATTTCAGTTGGGCTTCGAACCATCGATTGCTCTTACAGGATTCTCACATTCTCTTCACCACACTATCCTCAGCCCTTGCTTTGTCTTTCTTTCTCTGAGCCAGCTTTTTACCCTATCGGTACTAACAGCTATCACCCATCAACGGAAGTGATGTAGGGCTGGCACAAATCGGCATTGAACCCGGTTAAGCTGAAGCTGCAGTCGAAATCTGCCTATTCAGTAGGAGCAATCACGAGTTCGAAGCCCATCTGAAGTTCTGAGTTCTGCCCGTGTGTCTACAAATGATTATAGTTAATGCCTTTTTGTACCTTATCCGTTGAAAGATTTTAGAAATTCTGTTGTTCGCCTTACTAACGAGATAAATCGGAGAACTTTTTGTGTTGCAGGAGGTTTCTGCTCATTATGGCGGTCGGAAAGAATAACAATAAGATGGGGAAAAAAGGCGGCAAGAAGAGCGTTGATCCGTTTTCCCGTAAAGAGTGGTACGATATCAAAGCTCCGTCGATGTTCTACAACCGTCAGGTTGGGAAAACGTTAATCAACAAAACGCAAGGAACCAAGATCGCCTCGGAAGGGCTTAAGGGGCGTGTGTTCGAAGTTTCTCTTGCTGACCTGAACGATTCTGAAGCTGACTTCAGAAAGTTCAAGTTGGTTTGTGAGGATGTGCAAGGCAAAAATATCCTTACGAATTTTCATGCCATGTCTATGACACGCGACAAGCTCTGCTCAATTGTTAAAAAGTGGCACGTAAGTTTTTTTAAGACATTCAGTTCTTATTTTGCGAGTCACACTTCCTTTCCAGACTCTTATTGAAGCGAACGGTGTCTTTAAAACAACTGACGGTTACGTATTGCACTTGTTCTGTATCGGGTTTACAAAACGGTCGCCAAACCAAGTTAAGAAGACGACGTACACCAAGTCGTCGAAGGTGCGCAAGATTCGAGCAAGAATGCTCGAGTTGATGAAGAAGGAGGTACGTTTTTTCTTAAGTAGAAGTTGTAAACTGTTATATCGGAAAATGCTCATTTCTTCTGCGAGTAGGACTTGTTTGATCCATTCAGCTTCAAAATAATGCTCCGTTGTTATGCTTCGAGTGGGTCATTGTGGGGAGTTCAGGATATATCATTTGTTTTGTAACCGTCTACCGACCTAACAAGGCATACGTCCTCTTATTCTGTGAAGACAAAATCTTGATTTTTTTGAAGCTCTTAAAGTCTTACGTTTTCTAGCTTCACTCTAGAGGCTCGTATTTCGAACAGAAAAGTAAGGTGTCTGCGGTGTCGAACAAACGCGCTATTATCCTTTCCGGGGAGTAACGCATTCACCACCACACCATGCGGGTCCTTCGTTTCGCCTATCTCTCAGCCAGTTCTATCGATCACAGCCATCAGCAATCACCTGTCAACGGGATTGATCTGGGTAGCCCACATCGGCTTTGAACCAAGTTAAGCTGAGGCTGTAGTTGAAATCACGATGTTTTACTTTTTATTTTCTGCCATCTATAATTTTTATGGCAAAGTATTAAGCGAACTACAACCACAATATTCCTGAGACATTTGCAAAACTCCGGGCCGCAGGTTTCTGCGGTGGGGAACGAACGCGCTATTGTCCTTTCTGGGGAGTAACGTGTTCACCACCACACCATGCGGGTTCTTCGTTTCTCCTGTCTCTCAGCTAGTTCTATCGATCACAGCCATCAGCAGTCACCCGTCTATGGGATTGATCAAGGGAGCCAGTTAAACCCAGCTCATAACAAGGTAATCGAAAGCAGATAGAAATCGGAAGCGTCAGAGGTGGGAGAACCATTAGATAATGACATTACGTTTAATGATTCATTGAAGAAAACCTTTTCTGGGAAAAGTTTATTAGCTGGTAGTTTGACTAGCATTTTATTGCTACTTCATTTTAAAGGCAATGGTTTTTATAGAGAATGTGTGGCCATGAAAATGCAGAAAAAGACTTAGACTAATGAAAAATACTTCCAAATGACGACAGCAATGCATTTGCAATATGGATCATAGTAACGCATAGTAAATAGTAGCGTAGGTATCATTCATACTCATAGAACGATAGTACAAAGTCTCTTCTACATTCCAGTAAGTCCTTTAATATTGAAGAAGGATTTTTTATTATGAAAAAACCTGGAGGTCCGTAGCAGACGAAAAATCGCTCATGTTATATGGCATGAGCCACGAAAAAACATCTAGGGCGAAATGGGTTAATCTACTACCATTCACAACGCTAACAGTATTCCGTTTATTGCTCCTGATGTTGCGTTTTTGCATTCTTACAAAATGTTATGGTAAGATAGTGATCAAACTGTACCGTCCCTAGGTTGAAGTTTTCGATAAGTGATTTATCGTAGATGGGTAAATGTTGTAAATCATATTTTCGTTTTTGTTTAGGTCTCTGGATGTGATCTGAAAGAAGTATGCTCTAAGTTAATCCCAGACTCCATCGGCAAGGACATAGAAAAAGCGTGCCACGGGTTATATCCCCTTCATGATGTTTACATTCGTAAGGTGAAAATCCTTAAGAAGCCTCGTCTTGATATAGGACGCCTGATGGAAATGCATGGTGACTCCGTTACGGTTGGGGCTGATGGTGAGAAAGTAGACCGTCCTGATGATTACGAACCTCCCATTCAAGAGAGTGTATAATTGTTTTTGTTACGTCACGGACAATAAATGTTATTTTGTTTATAAGCAGTTGTGGAAAATTCGCATGTTAACAAAATATTTATGAGATCTATAACTCAACAACGACCATACGTATACATACAGTGAAGAACGTGACGAGTTTAGAAGGCTTATCCGAAAGGATTGCAGGTAGCGAAAATGTCTCCAAATTGGCAACCTTCTTCACAACATTTCTGCATTGTCCTTTCAAGGGATGTGATACCACTGAAGTCACTTATGCTTCGTCGTCGTCGTCGCATCGGACAAATGAGGTTGAATGCATCAAGAAATGACGGACCACCTGCAGTAATGGCTTCAAAAACTGCTTCTAGAGTTTTCTTTTCTATTCTATGAATGATATGATGTTGTAAATTTGTGGGTAAACTACATATGGACGTAGTCTATCTCTGTGACTAACCTAAATTGAGTAGTAGGGAGACCTACGCTGAACTTCTATGGAACTCAAGGCGTCTGTGGATATAGTCACTCTTTGTCCGACATGCTGTGCGCATGTGTTGTTCACGTTTTCACGTAACTTTCAGACCTCGGTAACTACTGTTGTTCCTGATTTTGCTAATTGGTGACCTGATGAGTGTTTTTTCGTCCCAAAAATGTAAAAATATTGTAACTGATTTGAAATCCATGCTTTCTTTATTGAGGGCACATTGCTGTGGACTTGCCAAGAGTTACTGCACCTTTCCACTGATTCATGTAAATGACTCCATAGGGCATTCGCTCATTTCGAATACAAAGAAGTACTGCACCAAGGATTAATACTTCATGGAATCCTGATTACTATATCATGGTTGTTTTGAATCATACACGTTACGACGTGAATGGAACAGGGTTCTTCTGCACAGTATCTCTGCTCCTCCCAACAGTTTACAGCCTCATCGTGGCTGCGAAGCATTCCTAGGTGTTGGCATGCGATGTACTACAAGGAGATTCATCCACCTAACATGATCTCCCAAGCTAAGGAGTCCGACGTTTTCATCAGGAAGCCCTGCTAAGAGTAAACCAGTACTAGGATTCACCACCGTCCTGCTATCAAACTAGTCATATGGTGGGAAATCTCCCTCTAATCCACAAGGGTGGCAACAACCTGTGGTGGTGACGACGTGGAGTAGATTTTGGCAAGGTTGACCTCCGGACTCCAGGTAACCACGATGGCTAGACCAGCAAAACATCGAGAAAGAGGAAATTATGCTGAGACCCACACAACCAGTGAAGACGTAGTGAGTGCCATCCAAGTATCCAAGAAAGAAGTATCTCTTAGCATCTTCTTCTCTATAGGTATAGGAAAAATGGGGTTGCGAGCACTATGGCCTGTTGCATAGATTTCAAAGTCGTGGTATATTTGAAATACTGTCTAACATTTAAGGTATGCCTTATTCTTCTTAAATACCTCATTATAACAAGTCGTGAGAGTTACCTGGTGGACACAATTTGAGCGAACCGCGTTTGGGTTTGGATTGTCTTATAACGTCTCCAACGACTGATGGCAATCGCGCGAAAGTCCCAATAGACTGACACACTATAAAAAACACCAACAAAGCGAGCACTGGTTGGTGCAGCATACCTGTAACGAGTAGCATTGATAAATTATGTATGACTGTTATTGGGACAGTCGATCAACTAGCGACTACGATCAGTATCCACGTTTAACGCCTTTCACTGAACCTCAAAATGGATAATCGATATCTTTCTTTATTGATAAGCTTACACGAGGTTCCCACGCCCGATTTTCTATTAATCTCGGAATTGATCGAATAATTCATCGTTCTCTTGATGAGCAAACAGGAGGCTATTACTTCATCCTTTATTTAGGAGCAAGCTGACGTTTCGGCGGATTTCACCTTCCTCAGGGCCTGGAAAGGTCAGGTTGGCTGCAATTTACCCAGCCAAACACTTCCATAACCAAGCAGAGAAAGTACGAAATGAAGATTTCATTCACATTAAGCATAGAATGGCTTCTTTGCACACTGACCGCTTTCTATGAGTCTTCCCCTTATGTCGCGTGGAGACCAACCGCTCAAAGTTCACATGGAAGCGTAATATGATGCTCACATTAAATTATCAGTTTCAAATACTGTGTTAGACCACACGTAGTTACAAGACAATCGTCCATGCGGTTCATTTTCGGATTCTTGGAATTTATACAGAATGGTTTGAGGGTTTGGTGCTGTGAAGTTTTCAATTCCTTTGCGATGATGGCAACTTCTATTTCAAAATCTCCCCTGTTACGTCTCTGTGTCCTATACGCCTCTAGTGGAGTATTTGGTTTACCTTTAAGTTTACCGAACAGGTGTTCCTTTACAAGGACGCAAAGCGGTCTACTCGTTTCGCCAACGTATTTTTCCTCGAATACTCTACAAGAGATCAGACAAACCGCAGCCGAACACATGCGATCATCGTCTCTACCGCTGTGCAACTTTGCGTCTTACATAAATGGTCACACAAGCGGTTTGGAACTAAATAGCGTCTTTGAGTGTCCTCTAGTATTTCAATCACTTGCTGAATTCACAAGACCGCGTCTTTTTAAGAAAGATTTTACAGCTGCACTTATTCGATTGAAATGAAGAACAGCATAAAAGAAATCTTATTATTGCTATAATTGTCGTTTAGGGGCTCGGATTTTCCACTACACCTATCCCGAAGAGCAACAGTTTCGTACCCACTGGAAAGCACATTGCAATTCCATGTGAACTCTGCTCGGTTGAGCTGCACGTGACATACTCAGTGAAACACTCACAAAAAGCGGTGAGTGCGCGAAGAAGCTGTTCTGCGTTCAGTGTGATTGGAATGTTGGTTTAGTATTTCCTCTGTTTGGTTACGGAGATGTTTGGCTGGGTAGATTGCGGTGAACCTGACCCTTCAAGGTTCTAAGAAAGACGAAATTCGCCGAAAGATCAGCTTGCTTATAAATAAAGAATAAAGCCACAACGTTGCTGAGATATTTGCAAAACTCTGGACCGCAGGTGTCTATGGTGGGGAACGAACACGCTATTGCCCTTTCCGGGGAGTAACGCGCTCACCACCACACCATGCGGGTCCTTCGTTTCGCCTATCTCTCAGCTATTTCTATCGATAAAGAATAAAGCAACAACCTCGTATTTCCTCATCAAGAGAATAGTAACTTACAAGAGGTCTTTACAAATCTTTATAACATTTAATATTTTGGCGGTTTCGCCATGTTCAGAGCCGGAATGATTGATGTCGAGTGTTCAGTGCAGTAACTTTTCCGTTCGAAGTTGATCCTCATCGCTGTCGCTTGGAGGCGAATCTAACAGAGTACCCGATGCCAGATGAAGTCAGGTCACCGCAGTACTGCCAAAATTCTGTATAAAATGCAGCGTTGTGTGACGCTCCTTCCTTCTTGCGGTGTTCCACCAAATTCCACTCGACTAGATGTGACAACGATGAAAACCAACATCGCAAGAGGAAACAACTGCTGTAGACAATCGACCAGAATCAACGTGGCTCTGATGAAGACGAGACGCTGAAACGGTAGCCATAAAAAAATCATGTACCGAGCCATTGTCGCTGTCCTCCTAGACAAGTCTGGTACCAATTTGCCAACCCCGGAGGGATGGAGGGCTTGGTGGGCCATGGGCACGGAGAACGATTCCACGTGGGCTTTGTAGTGGCGTCTCCAACCACTGCGCCACATGCGCCCTACGGTAGCCATAGCCAAGATTTATAACAATGTCGTGTAAGCTAATTGGTAAAGGAAGATATTAATTATCCATGTTTTACATTATGTTGTAACAAACGTTTGTCAAAAGATGGCTGATGACGTAACGAGAAGGAGAAGCGATTAGATGCTGTACTATTCAAATAATGTTGTGAAGTACTACTGCACGAGGTATTACATTGTTTCTCAAAAATAGTAACGAAAGAGATTGGTTGACCTTGGTAGCTGAACACGGAAATGGATCTTGTTGAAAATGTGAGCACTAGTTTGTCAAAGTATGTTCACAAGTAAAATACGCAAAATTCCATCGCTAAATGGTACAGAAGCTTGATCCGACTTTATAAAGCAAGCAAAATAAAACACAGCACATAACAGTCGATACGCATTGAGTACAATGCATTTGATGTGAAAATAATAGTTGCTTTCAACTTTATGGCAAGTTACCTCCGCTCATATAGACTCCTACCAGTTGGAATAAAAGCAATGAGTTGGTGGAGCGAAGATAAATAAGAGCTTGAATGAACGTTGATTCTAATTAGAGACGTTTGCAGACGTTTCTGTACAGTGAATGTAACTACTAGATGTTCAAAAGACTGTTACGTGACAAAGAGGAAGCATATCTTACAGTATAAAAATCATAAATGCCAAAACATAAACTTCCCTTCAATATATACTTTCTTCCGCAGCTTAGACGAAGTTGAAATACAATCTTTATTCGGCTAATGCTTCAACATCTTCGTCATCATCCGAGCCGATGATCTATGTGGATAGCCCTGAGTTGTTCGTCTTCTTGATGTTGATCAACGCCATAAGCTTTTAACCTTTTATTTAGCTCAGTGCCTGTGATGTTCTTGACATTGTCCATAGGGCTAGGGCTCGGGCGATGTGATCCGTCTAGCAGATCCCATGATCGAATTTCTTTTAAAGTCGGCATTGATCAATAATTCACTGCTTTTTCAATAATCGAGCACTCTGTTATTACACCAATTGTTCACAATAGCTGACGTTTTGGAAGTTTCGCGTCGTTCAGAGCCTGGGAAGGTCAAACTGACACCCAATCCGCTCAGTCAATCATCTTCAAAACTGCAAAAGAAAAGCCATGATATCTAAATTTCAATCACATTGGAAACAAATTAACTTTCTCACACGCTCATCGCGCTCTATATGTCGCCGAGTTCTCCATGTGGAGACGAATCGTACAGAATACACATGGGTTAACAATGCGACGTTCTCACGTTAAAACATCATTGTAAGATATTGCGTGAGATCTCGCCTGATAACGAGGTGTTCTTGATGTTTTAGATTCCCGTACGAGGATAGCGACGTCTAGTCGAATATTCTGCTTGATTTTAGGTTTCCCAACTAGGCGCTCTTTTACACTGGAGCAGGGTAGCACATCTTCCAACAGTTTACCGCCCCATCGTGGCTTGGAGGTGTTTCGGGGTGTCGGACTACGATGTACAGCAGGGGATTCGTTCCTCCGGCAGGGTGTCCCAAGTTGAGAAGGAGTCCGGCGTTTCCATCAGGAACCCTAGCTAAGAATGAATCAATACCAGGATCCACCACCGTCCTGGTATCAAAGTCGCATGGTAGAAAATCACCCTCTGATCCACAAAGGCTGCTACTGCCTGTCGTGGTGACGAGCTGGGGCAGACTTTGGCCAAGCTTTCCTCGGAATTCCAGGGATCCACGGTGGCTTGGTCAACAGGTCTCCGAAAAATGGTGATTATGTTTGGGCCAGCACAACTTGTGAGGACGGGCCGTTCCTGTATCAAGTAAGTAAGTAAGAGTAGCTTAAATTCCGAGCGTAGCATTAAAAAAAGGCGGAGGTCGCTCTGCTATTGATGAATACAAATTGATAGCTTTACCGAAAGCGAATATTCTGTTCGAGAACTTGCAAAAGAACTCGATGCGAGTATCTCAATTGTTTTGAGCACCTAAAGAAGATCGGTAAGTCTAAAAAGCTCGATAAAATGATCCTGCGCGAACTGAATGCCAATAGAAGAGCGCCTTTCTTGCGTAACTAGCACGAGTTATTTATCATCTGTATTGTGATGTGCGATAAGTGGATCCTCTATCGTAAGCGCTACTTCTGCGCAGCTAGCACGAGTTGTTTGTCGTCTGTATTGTGATCTGTGAGAAGAAGATGGATTCTCGAGAACAACCAGCAGCGATCGGCACAATGGCTGAACAGCGATGAATCTCAGCAGTACTTCCCAAAGCCGTAGTTGCAGCGGAAAACACATGCTGCCGTTTAGTGATCTGTCGCTGGTTTGATCAATCACAGCTTCCTAAATCCGGGTGAAACGAGTACGGAGGAGAATTACATCCAGCAAATACACGAAATGCTCCAGAAACTTTAAAGAATCTGGTCAACATATTGGTCAGCAGATAAGGGCCAATCCATGCCCATAATGACGCGCGACCACCTCACATTATCGATACTCAAGTGTTAAAGGGCTTGGGCTACGAAACCATGCCTCATCCACCATAACTGTCAAACATCTCGGCTGCCGAATATCACTCCGAGCATCCCGATTACCTCCTCTGCTAGAAATCCATCAGAAGCCAAGTTTATGCTGAAGCTGTTTTCAGCGACTTCATCGCATCCTGTAGTGCACAATTTCATGAAACTGATATAAGTAAAGTTATAGTTGTATGGTGTTGACCAAATTTACATCTTTTTCGTAGAAAACAATAATGCAAAGCCCATATATCAGTTCGCCAATGCTTCGTTTAAAAGTAACGACTTCATTGCAGTAAAACTCATCGAGCGTGATATTCACTGGAGCCAAACAGAGGAGCGAACAAAGCAGTTCAGAAAACAAACTATGGGCGACGACCGCTAAGCACCACAAATCAGCAAATGAGCTGGATGCTTGGTGACGCACAACTTGCGACACCCTGCAAAATCTTCGCTTCGTAGCGGATTTTTTAGACGACACACCACTCTCCTTTTGTTCATATAATTCCGGTGGGACAGCTAAGAAAGGTGCTTGAGAGGAACGTGAACGAGAAATATTAACAGCAAAACGATACTAGCAAGGAATCAACTGGCTTATCATTTGCACCGCCTAATAATTATTGAATTAACTACCTAGTCTACATACTAGAATCTAACCCACGATGCTAGAATCCTTGAAGGTTGTGACTGAAGCTTTAACGGAAGCAAAAACCACTGGACCTCTTGCACAAGACCTCACATTGTTCCTTTTTTTGGTTGGTGAGAGAACATCTATGGATAGCTACAAATGGCTCGCAATGGGAACTGGGTTTTCTGAAATTCAAATCGTTGTGCCTTCTCACAGTGGGAGCAAGTCACATTTATTCGACATGGCCACATGCCACTTTTCATGTGTTTCTGAGTTTAATTGCGTGTACTTTACTGAGTATAAGTCCAAAGTGCAACAACAGGTAATTCCTTATGAATGGTTATGATACTTAGTATAGAGATGGAGCAACTAAGTTCTACGCAGCGGATAGAGGAATTCTATCTCCTGAATCGTTGTGCTCCAGAGGGTACCTGCAGGTCGCTTGGAGAGTATTTGGGTCACCTAAAGGTCCAGCCAAAGGACGTATAGGTGAAAAATGTCCTTGCATTGGTTCTTTTAGAATACGTGATATAAAAATCTCTTCAGATGTACAGGATTTTTAAGAGACAGAAAAAGAATAAACCAAGACAGGCTCACAAAATTTCTAGAATAAGAACAAAAAAGTTCATGGCAGGAATCTTCGAGTGTTCAACGCACTCCAGGTACCGGTTGAATCGAAGCTTAACCTTTCCAGAGAGCATTGAAGTAGAAATCAGATGGACTGCTCTTCTCGATATTTCATTACAATTTTGGGGGGAAACAGCTGAATAGGCAAAACATAACTTATTGCATTACCGATGCAATAACATTTTTTAAAATGTTCTAATCATCAAATAATAAATCTAATTCAGTACCTGGTTGCTACCATTCCTTCCTGACCGCGGCGAAAACTTGCCAGACAGGAAGCGATTGCCCTTCTGGAGTTTGCGTTTGCATTCTTGGTATTTGAACCGCGTCGAACGTCCACCATTTTTTGTCGTTGTTGCCGCTATGCTATTTCTAGTCTGAGACCAGCGATTACCAGTACGAAGAACATTGATCATATCTTCATCACTGATGGTGAATAACTGTTATGGAATCGCCGCCTACACCACATGCCAAAAAGCAATGTCGATGAGTGGATTTACTGTGACCTTGAATGGTATCAGGAATCTCCAGAATTCTGAGGCACGGAAATCACAAGGGGAATTCGTTTGCGACCGTTGAACGAACCTTTGGTTTTCAGGAATATGTTGCCATCACATACATTTGCAATTCTTCAGAAGAATACAAATTTTTAAAAAAAAAAACCCAGCCATTGCACCGTATGCAGCGGTTCACTGGAGACCAACTACACCAGTGCTCCCTCACGTCATTCATCCTGCATTCTTTAAATCATTTTAACGTACAGAAAGGAAAAAACCATTCCGGAGTTATTTATGGTAAATTTTCTAAAATACCAGAAGAATAACGCTTCGTTGATAAATTCTAATCTAATATTTAACGTTTTGTTTTCTGCCTTCTATAATTTTCATGGCAGGTTACTAAGCGAAATACAACCACAACGTTGCTGAGATATTTGCAAAACTCTGGACCGCAGGTGTCTATGGTGGGAAACGAACGCGCTATTATCCTTTCCGGGGAGTAACGCGTTCACCACCACACCATGCGGGTCCTTTGTTTCG